CTTGTACTTCACTAATTCCTTCAGTGCAGCTTTGACTTTTTCCTTCAGAATCATTGGTTCTTGATCATATGCCACCTCCTGAAATGGATGGAAATCGACCAGTTCTTTTTGATATAGTGACTCTGTGCATTCTTTCCCTCTTCTTTAGATGTTTCCTGTGTTATTCAATATTTTGCCCATAGAATCTTCCAATATGGCAACTCGAGGCTTAAATATTTTCCTTAGTTCTTTCAGCTTCAGAAATGCCGAGCGTGTTCTTCCCTTTTGGTTTTCTAACTCCAAGTCTTTGCACATTTCATTATAGTAATTGGCTTTGTCTGCTCGAGCTGCTCTTTGAAATCTTCTGTTCAGCTCTTTTATCTTGCCATTTCTTCATTTGCTTTAGCTCCTCTCTGCTCAAGGACAAGTTTCAGAGTCTCTTCTGTCATTCATTTTCATCTTTTTTTTTTTCCATCTTTTTAATGACCTCCTGCTTTCTTCATGGATGATGTTTTTGATGTCATCCCACAATTCTTCTGGTTTTCGGTCACTGGTGTTCAATGCATCAATCTATTCTTTAGATGGTCTCTAAATTCAGGAGGAATATATTTTGGCTCTTATGGACTTGTTTTAATTGTCTTCAACTTCAAGTTGAACTTGCATATGAGCAGTTGATGGTCTGTTCCACAACCAACTCCTGGCCTTGTTTTGGATGAAGATATTGAGCTTTTTCATTGCCTCTTGCCACCGATGTAGTCAATCTGATTCCTGTGTATTCCATCTGACAAAGTCCACATGTACAGGTGCCATTTGTGTTGTTGAAAAATGGTATATGAATAAGTTGTTGGTCTTGCAAAATTCTATCATGTGATGATCTCCAGCATTATTTCTGTCACCAAGGCCAAATTTTCCAACTACCAGTGATTGTTCTTTGTTTCCAACTTTTGCATCCCAGTCACCAGTGATACTTAACACATCATGATTTCACGTTTGGTCAATTTCAGACTGCAGAAGCTGATAAAAATCTTCAATTTCCTCATCTTTGGCTTTGGTGGTTGGTGCATAAACTTGAATAATAGTCATATTAACTGGTCTTCCTTGTAGGTGTATGGATATTATCCTATCACTGACAGCACTGTACTTCAGGATAGATCTTGAAACATCCTTTGTGATGATGCCATTCCTCTCCAAATTGTCATTCCCGGCATAGTAGATCATATGGTTGTCTGATTCAAAATGCCCAAAACCAGTTCATTTCAGCTCACTAATGCCTAGGCTATCAATCTTTATGCATTCCATTTCATTTCTGACAACTTCCAATTTCCTAGATTCATAACTTTGTACATTCCATGTTCCGATTATTAATGGATCTTTGCAGCTGTTTCTCCTCATTTTGAGTCATGCCATGTCAGCAAATAGAGGTCTCGAAAGCTTTACTTTATCCATAACGGGAAGGTTGGTTCTACTCTGATGATGCAGCTGTCTCCCAGTCACATTTTGAGAGCCTTGTGACCTAAGGGGCTTGTCCTCCTGCACTGTTACAGACAATGCTTCTGGGCTATTCATAAAGTAGCGCAGCAATGTATCAGACAGTTTTACTCTGTTATTCATAAAGTTTTCTCTGGCCAATTCTTTAAGAAGTGGATACCCTGTTCCTTCGTCCTAGTTTGTCTCAGTGTACAAGCTGCACTGAAATCTGTGCATCATGTGCAACCCTGCTGGCATCTGAAACACTGGTGGCACAGCCTCAAGCCTCACAGCAACATGCCTCCACAGTATGACAAACTGACACACAAGTTTGTCTCCCTTAGCTGTTGGAAACCTCTCCACCCTCCCCTTACCTGGACCCCTGTTGCTGCTCCTCTGTACTGGTCCTATTGGCTTTTCTCTCCTTTCCTCCACTTTCCTGCCACTTGAGGGTAGGGCCTGGGTCCCTTCCCTTAGCTGGATCCTTGCTGCTGCTTCCTCGCTCTGTCTTGATCCCCCTGGCTTTTCTCTCCTTTCCCCCACTACTCATTTATCAACTATATTGTTATACAGCATTTCACATTTACGATGACAGTAAAAATCTACTCTCTGACTATTTTACCCATTAATGACACATCTGGCAGTAACAAATGGCAAGGTGTGAGGTCAGAGTAATGCTGGCTGTGATGGATGAGGTTATGTGTCAAATTGGCTGGGCCATGATTCTCAATGTTTGGCAGTTATATACTGATGTAATTTGGCACTTATGCAATGATACAGTTATCTTCCATTTTGTGATCTGATGTGGTCTCCTTCCATTCTCATATAATGCTGACTTTCACAAAACAACCTGGTCTTTGGAATCTAACCATATTGATAAGTGAGGAGTGGGTGTACTATATTGTTTAACAATACCCTGAAATCTCTCCATCATGAACTGGACACACCATTAATTTGTCAAATATTTCTTTACATAACCTAATTTGGGTTCCTTTTTCATTGAACTGTCAGCAGAAGGTGTAAACCAGTGTCCTGTGGGCTGAGTTTTATTCACAGAAACATCTTACCTGGCCTAAAAAACGGGTCCCCTGATTATTTAGAAGGAGCTCTGGTGCTGCAGTGTGTAAAGCATCTGACTGATAACCAGAAGGTTGGTAGTTCAAACTTACCAGCCACTTCACAGAAGGAAGATGGGGCAATCTACTTTCATAAAGATTTACTGCCCTGGAAACCCAAAGGGCATTGCTATGAGTTGGAATTGACTCAAAGTCATTAACGTTTGTCCAAGCTTATTGTAGTCACTCTTCTTACCATGTTTTTGTTAGCCAACATTAAGAAAAGAGGGGAAATTAAAAAATGCAGAGGAGAAACATCTCCCATTAAAGCAGCCTTCTGCTAAATGGCAGGAAGATTTGTTACAAGAAGTTTAATGATGTCTCTATTCACTATTCGATTCAATGGCACCTAAAACAACAGTCACTATTAAAGCAGGAAGAAATGTCAACATTTAGAAATCAGGAGATTAAACATAAATATCCAGATTTCTGGCTTCTCTTAAAGCACCAGGTCTGGCAACGCTGGGAAGGTATTCTTACGTAGCAGTAACAAGCGAAAGCAGAAGGCCAGCTGCCCAGGTTTTTAACTAAGCTTCCTACACTCCTCCAGTGATCCCCATTATCTTATGCCCCACCTCATATTAACTGCTGGGCCACTGTAGGCATCAGAGCTTATAACTGCTGGTCTAGCATTTCTCTCCATCTTTTTAATAGTGTAATAATCAAAATTGTACTCACACCCTAAAGATGACTTAACAACTGAATGAAGTGGAAACAGCACTTTTAATGATGAGCTCTGAGATGTAAATGGCAACTGGCTTTTACAATTGGCAAACTAGCCAATATGCATTGAATACTTGAGAAATTAGTCTTGTTCATCAGCCTCATTAAATCATGGGCAACTGTATATTGAGTCATCCTCTAACAACGGCCTGTGAACAGCTGGCTATTGCCATCACTGGTCGGCAGAATTCTACGGTGACCACAATGAGCCAAACCTTTGTGTGATCTGCCTCTGAATGCAGGACCTATAACTTGCTTCTAGCTTGGCCAAGGTGATGGAACATCACTCCTATACTTATACTACATTATACGACAAAGGAATTTTGCAGATGTAATTATAGTATTTTTTGCATGTAACATGCCCATGTAAATAATGTGTGCATGCATACAATGTGCATAACAGGCATAGGAGACTAACGTGTGAGGGGGGTATGGTTTGCAAAAGAAGATATAGCATGTGTTATTTGCTTAAAAATGCAGTAAATCCCTAATCAGCTGATTTTGAGTTAATCAAAAGGGAGAATATCCTGGATGGGCTTGAACTCTCAGGAAAGCCCTCTCTCTAAAAGAGGGTTCAAACCTTCTTTGTAAGACTCTAAGGAAAAGAGACGATCTCCTGCTAGCCTTAAAGCAGCAGGCTGATGTGAGCTTTAGAGCATCAAGGGAATGAAATATGCCAACAACCATGAGCTTGAAGAGAACCTATAGCCACAATGAGACCACAGTCCTGGGCTGACACAGTAATTATAGCCCTGTGAGCCCCTAGACAAGAGGATCTAGTTAAGCTGTACTAGAACTCCTGACCCATGGAAACTGTGGGATAATAAAACTATGCTGTTTTAAGTAGCTAAGTTTGCAGTAGTTTGCTATGCAGGAACCAAAAACGAACTCACCACCTATCATTGCTAGTTGTAATAATTGGAGTAGCTTCTATCTTTTGAGGGCCCACCACGGGCCGGGCACTTTGCTTGTGTTTTTTTCTTTTTTTTTCCTTTTGAGTTTGGTCTCAGTTTTAATGCAGACACATTAAAGAGCTTGACAATGTATTTTAAAAAATTTATCTTAATAGGATACAGTCTATTTTTACCAAAAAAAAAAAAAAAAAATCAAAACCCTAAAAACCAAAAAACTCAACTACAAACAGACTTTTGAATATGAAACGGAAAATGACAGATTCCTTTCAGTAGTTTCAAAGTATGAGTCCATTTCAAATATGCTTTACTCTAGCATGCATTCCAATTGCAGATTTTCTTTAATATATGAAAATTAAATTAGAGTGCCTTTGTACATTTGAAGGGCCATGCTCATCTAAATGACAGCTGGTTAGAAGAAGGAAGGATCAAGGAAAGGATTCCTGCTTCCCTGTTTCTGTGCACATGCGCACAGTAGATTTCCACTCCAAGTCAATGAAGAGGCAGGGCTGACAATTAGCATTAAAAAGCATGTGGAAATTCCCTTGGGAAATCAATGGGGATATGTTCTTAATAAAGGAGAAGGAAGAGAAGTGAAGAAATCAGCCAGACTGAGCACCTTTGATTAGGAAAGATAAGAAAACCTAGTAAGATTAGATGACCATTACCACAACATGTGAAAATCTGATCCTGCATCAGTTTTTAAAAAAATCTCATTAAATATGGTATGTTACCAATTTACAACATATCCCTATTACTATTTTGAACTAGTATGCTTACAAGTGCTTGGAGAAAATTCACTTACTTGCTTGGAATTTTGTGTTATTGTTTGTGCTTCGAATTAGCTGGAATGCCTTTTGGAATCCCACTGCGTGCTGGGTTGGACTGTCGGAAGACTTGACATTGCTAACGAAGGTAGACATTTTCCGTTTAGTCTCACTGGTGGCTGGAGACAGGAATGTCTTATAGCATTGGTCAAGTGAGCAAGTCCTCACAGTGTCTGCTACTGTCAGCACGGAAATCTTAAAGAAAGAAAAAGAAACTTGTTATCCTACCATTAGAAGTGTTGTTTTTTTTTTTTTTTAAAAAAAAAAACATTCTGGATGAGCCCAAAGAGTGAAACAGCCCATAGGACAGGTACTGCGAGTTTAAAAAACAAATGCCTGAGGCATAAATCTGTCAAATTTGAAAAATATTAGTACAGACAGAAAAAATGGAAAAATTCCTAGTGTTTTACATTTGTTCCAAGACTAAGTCACTAATATAGTGTTCATATAAACTCCACCCATTGTCATCAATCAGTTCCAATCCACAGAGACTATAGGACAGACTGGAACTGCTCCATAGGATTTTCAAGGCTGTAAGTCTTTATGACAGCAGATTCTTCCCTTATCTTTCTCCTGTGGAGTGGCTGGTGGGTTCCAACAGCTGACCTTTTGGTTAGCAGGCTAAAGCTTGAACTGCTGTACCACCAGAGCTCCTATTTAACATTTAAAATGTTCACATGTAACATCTGCAAAACTGGAGTATTTCCAGCAGGGAAAAATCTTAACAAGTATACTAACCATCTTGATTTTCAAATTGGGGGCGGGAATCGGGGGATGGAGTGTGTAAACAATTGGGTTAGTGAGCCAAATCTTTGGCACTAGTAAAGTCAAAATGATGAAGCAGAAAATGTTCACAGGCAATAGATTACTCTTAACTGTAAACACACCTATCTCTGAGCTATATTGGTGATTAGTAAACCTCAGACCCTTCCCTTTCTCTTTCTCCTCTCATCAATCCTGAGATAAAGTTCAGTCATCCTTCAACATCCAAATCCCTCACCCTTCTCTTCAGCAAACTTCAAGTGTGAAAGTCATGGCTAATTAGAGGAGGCCTTAGCAGGAGTCATAAAGGGAGTAGAAGACTGATCGTGGTTGGTCACTGCTTCCTCAAACATTAGAATAGAAACTAAACCACTCTCCTTTCCCAAAGTCATTTTAAAGATGGATTTATAAATAAATTAAATACATCATAAAATATTAAGTACTTAATAAAAGGCATTCAGGGAAGACCCAATGCCACAGGAGTCACTGGGGCAATTGTCACCTTATCATGTTCATCGATGGCGCTAAGGATGACCTGGGCAGCGTCCTTGGCGATCTGAAGCTGAGTGTCTGTGACGGAAGCACCGTGGTCCAGGATCACCACTATGTGCTTTGACTGAGGTCGGACTGTGGAGACGTAGATGGGTCTAAAGGGGGGAAAAGTTCTTCGGGTCAGTCCCAGTTTGGATAGAAAGTTTCACCTTAACACAGCTGTGACTACTAAAGTGGTTATTTATGTGTTTTTTTCCCCCTGGGGTAGCACAAGGATGAAGAGATTAGCAAGGAAGAAGAAACCCATTTCAGTACTTTTTTGGCACACTCAACAGTCAACTCTCTCAGCTGTGGTGATGCTGTTCGCTGTAACATACAGGATGTGATGACGCTGCTCACAGTTATATTTCACTGTTGGAAAGAGACCTGGTGGTCTCCTGGGCTGCACAGGCAGTGCAAGAAGGAGAAAACAGCTTATTTGCCAGTGCTGGGTCCTTGTTTGCAGATTTAAGGAGTAGGGGGCTCTGCTGGAATTGAAACAGCTGTGCACAGCCATGACCCACCTGGCAGTGGAGGCCTGCATGTTACTATGACACTGAACAGGTTTCAACAAAGCTTCCAGACCAAGATGGATGAGGAAGAAAGGCCTGATGATCTGTTTTTGAAAATCAGCCAATGAAAACTGGATGGATCACAGTGGTTCTGATCCACAACCGATCACGGGGATGGTTTAGTATTTTGTTCCATTGTGCACAGGGCTGCCATGAGTCTGGGGCTGACTGGACACAGCTAGCAACCACCACCACCACCACCACCTCTGAACATGTTTTACAGACAAAGGTTCCTGCTAAGAGGCTTCTTCCTTTCTGTACTAAATTAATTCACATAGGTCAGCCACCAAAAGGGCCCTTATCTAAACATTTAAATGAGTGTTAACAAAATTTGTCCAAGCCTGTCATAGCCACTCTTCTTGCCAGGTTTTTGTTTGACAATATTTTTTAAAAGAAAAAAAAGAACACATGTTTGGGGGGGAACCCACAAAGTGCAGAGTGGGGTTTGTGAGAAGAGGTTTAATGAAGTCTGTATTCCGTTTTAAAGCTGGAACAAATTAGGGGGAGCTTAAGAAAGCAAATCAGCCTCAAGAGAATGCTCTACTTTACTGACACCTCTAAAATACTAGTCTTCTATGTAAAATGTTAGATGCCAGTTGAGTCACAAAAGCTGGGTACAAATTAAGAAATGTAGGCAAAGTATCAATAAAATTCAAAATCCAGCTGAGTTTACACTAATTGTTCTCAAGCCAAAAAGTTCTGTACCCATACTAAAGTACCACTCTATTTTCACTTGTTGGTATCATTGAGCCAATAGAAAATCAGGATAGAAAGAACCCAGGAGAGGTGGTTATAGGAATGAAAGAGGGAAAAGAAGGAAATCATAGCATCTCAACACCAAAAACTGCTATAAAGGGATGTATAAGCAGTAATGCTAAATGTCTTAAGGTAAGGATGAGGAAGCAGTCCTAAACTGCTCTACCACCTCAAAGGGATGTGGGCAATTTGAAAAGGTGTCAGAGGAAAGCATTTAAGCAAGAGATGGGAACCATAGTCTATGAAGAGCGGAGGTGAATTATGCAGCCAAGGGAAGAGAGGTTTGAGAGTTCATTTGGAGTTAGGGTGGAAGTATGAAAACTTTCCAAGCTACCTGGTGTAGGTGAATGCTGATTTGGGACAGCATCCTGCTTCTCCTTTTGGACTGTCTCTCACAGGTGATTCATTAAAAGAAGCATGACATTTAATGTATCTTCTTAGTTGCAAATAAGAATTAGACAACTCATGGTAGCTCTTTTGTGCTAGTGACAGACCTTTTGTGCTAGTGACAGACGAGTCAAACTAGAACTGAATGGCCATGATCTCTGGACCAGCTTCTACGATTCTCAAGTGTTCACCTGGATGGCTAGGAGGTGAGGTGAAGAAAAGATACAACCAAAAAACGTCTTGTATGAAAAGCACCGAGAAAGTTTTTTCCTTGGGGAAAATCCTAGACACAAAGATGAATGGAAGCTAAAGTGATAGTTAATTTAGACTCCAACCAAAGGCATGAAGAGTGGGCACCTTGCACTGGCCTCAGATGTCCTAGCATCAAACGTCTGACATTGCAAAGGGCAAACTGCCAGGATTCAAAAGAAAATTATCTTTGCCTCAGGGGTTCTTTAAATTGATGAGTCCTGTCATACAAACTATCTCACCATTACTGCCTTTCTGGCTAAATGATACAACCGTATGTCATTTCCATGAGAAAACCAGAACGTTAATGATCTTTAATGCATTGGTTTCTGGACAATCCGACCACTTCCAGCTAACTGAGATTTACATGTAAATTTCAGAATTATAGTGAGAATCACAACTATCTACACTGAGATATGCTATGAAGTCTTCCAGGGATGTACTACAGTGAAGATGGCATCATTTATGTCTCAACAAAGATGTCTGAAGCGCAAAACAATTTTGGTGTTTCAAACAACTTAATTTCTTTAGTAAACACCCAGTTTTATTTGGTTTGGTAGATTTTTCTAGAAAGTTTTACACTTTTATTATTTGCCCTTCCCTGCGTTTCTACATCCACATGTTAAATGGTGCAACCATTTCAGAACAAAGGAAGTACAAGTTTCTGGATACACAGTTCAGAGGCAGAGCCTCTAAGTGAAGGGTCTGTATTACATACAGATCACTCTCATGCAAACAAGATTTTAGCAAGCAAGGCAACGTACCTACTGCGATGCTCATAGCTACCCTTACACCGGAACTTGTGTGCTGGGAAAACGGTGAAAATTCCTTCTTCCGAACTGAAATACTGCCACTTAATTCCAGGGTTGGATTTCAGGTTGTCTGCAAGAACTGCAAGAGTGGGAAAAATGAAATGTAACCACCAAATCCACAGGTGCACACAGGCACCGCTCACTACTCAGGCATCTGTTTTGCATAAACTGCTTACAGTATGAAAAAAATCCCACTAGATACAAAGTTATAAATTTTCTACTATATTTTTCAGTTTTTGAAAAATACCCCATGAAAATTCAATGTTTGAAATGTAATGTTTGAGTCAAGTGAAGCCATCATTCTTAACACAGTAAGGTGACACTTTATGCCTGGATTATTCTTCCTGCATGATGATTCATTGGCATTAATCAGTCCCCTCACCTGATTGGCCTCTGCTGGGCCAGGGGTATAATTGCTGGCTTGGGGTACCTTCTCTAACTGTGGAAATAGTCCTGTTAATAGGACTAGAGGGACCAGACCTGTGATTTGGCCTTCACTTCACCATCTTACTTCACAATCAGGGAAACGGCACAGCTGGCACTTGAAATACCAGAACCATCTTAATTGAGTCATAGCTGCAACTAATGGGATGACTCTATTTCCAGACATTGGGATAAAGGCTTTCCACATATTCTCTCATTTAACCCTCACAGGAACCCTAGTCTGCAGGTGGTATTATTACCTCTACTTTGGAGTTGAGAAAATATGCTTTGAGAGTTAAACAACTGTCTAAGGTGTCCTACCAGTAAATAACTGCATCGGGATTCAGGCCTGGGCATGCTTGGCTTCTGCGCCTCCCTTTAGCACACACTACCTCCCTTCCACTTACCTGCATCTGACAGTCCCTCAGTGGCTAGGGCCCACCATTTTGTTTCTGAAATATTTTTGCCACAATCTCCATGACATCTTTCTTATCCTCTCCTGCAATCATTGTTTTTTCCCTTCTCTCGGGCAATCTACTTCCACAGAGATACTACCTCAGAAACCCAAGGAGGGGTCGCTATGAGTCAAATCGATTTGATAGCAGTTGAGTTTTAGTGACTGAGCTCTTATGACCTTTCACTCTGTTCCACAACTCATTTTTTTTTTTTTTAAATTACATGTTCAATATATGTAAGGTACTTCTTTCTTCTTTCTTTTTATTGTGATTTGGGTGAAAATTTACAGAGCAAATTCACTTTCCATACAGCAGTTCACATACACTTTGTCTCATGACATTGACCACAATTTACCACAATGCAACATCTTCCCTCCTTTTTCCTTCCGATAATTACCTCTTCCCTGTGTCTCTCCCTCCATGCACTCCCACTCCCTGAGCTGTCTCCCTGTGCAAAAGCAGCCCTTCCTTCTCCCATAATTGTTCTCTCTAAGGAGTGTATCTATGTAAGGTACTTCTTTCATGCTACAAGATATACAAAGGGATGCAAGAAAAAAGTCCTAAAGTAATAACTGATATATTAGCAAAATTATTATATAGATGGAAATGGAAAAGAGAGTAAGTTCACTGAAGGAGGAGTCTGAACACAGGTATTAACAAATAAAAACATGAGGTATATTTGACTATGTTATTGAATATATTATAGTATATTAATAATAGGACCTTTGGTGGTACAGAGAAAGATGAGCAGTCAGCTTCTTTTTCTTTCTTTCTTTTTTTTAAATTGTGATTTGGGTGAAAATTTACAGAGCAAATTCACTTTACATACAGCAATTCACATACACTGTCTCATGGCATTGACCACAATTTACCACAATGCAACAGCTTCCCTCCTACTTCCTCCCGATAGTTACCTCTTCCCTGTGTTCATCCCTCCATGCACTCCTGCCCCCTGAGCTGTCTCCCTGTGCATAAGCAGCCCTTCTTTCTCCCATGATTATTCTCTCCAAGGAGTGTATCTACCTCAGGTAAATGTTCAACTCATATGCCTGTCTATTGTTTGGTTGGAAACCACAGGTGTGGGTTCAATTCCAGACCTGAAGGGCAGCTAGAGGCCACAGTCTCAGTGATTGCACCAGGCTCTATCAGACCAGCAAACCTGGCCCCCCCTTTTTTTCCCCCTCCAAATGATTTTGAGTTTTGTTCCACATTGTTCTCCCTCTCTATCCCCTTCTAAGTGGTTGACAGTAGTAGCCAGGCACCATCTAGTTCTTCTGGTCTCATAGTCATAAAGGCTGCAGATCAGGCTGTACCAGTCGCTAGGACTAATTGTTCCCATGAATTTTTGGTTTTCTTCATTCTTCTTTGCTCTGGACAAGGAGAGACCCATCGTTGCATCTAGATGGCAGCTTGCTAGCTTTTAAGATCCCGGTCGCTACTCACCAAAGTAGGAGGTGGAACCATGTTTTGTGTAGTATGTTATGCCAATTGAGCTTGATGTCCTCGAGCAGTCAGCTTCTGTAAAGCTTTACAGTCTTGGAAACCCTATGAGGCTGTTCTATTTCTACTCTGTTCTACAGGGTTGCTGTGAGTCATAATCAACTCAATGGCTTGCTCAACTACTAACTGAAGGTTGGCAGTTCACATTTACCTAGATACACCCCTGAAGAAAGATGGTAATCTATTTCCATGAGATTAAAAACCAAAACAAATACAGCTGCCGCTGAGTCAATGCTGACTCATGGCGACCCCATACTGAACTCCATAGGGTTTCCATGATGAAACTTTCAGAACCAGATTGCCAGGCCTTTATTCCAAGGTGCCTCTGGGTGGGTTCGAACTGCCAGCCTTTCAGTCAGTAGCGTAGTGCTCAACTGCATCACCCAGGGACCACCCTCTAGCCATCGAAAATTCTATGGAGCACAGTTCTATGAAACATGTGGGGCTGCCATGAGTGAAACTGATTAGATGGCAATGGGTTGGGTTTTCAAAACACAGAATAATATGGGCAGTTCTACTCTGTCCTGTAGGGTCTCTATAGGTCAGAACTGACTCAAGGGCAGTGGGGTTATTTTAGGTATTAAGATATGTATGTATATATACCCACATGGCCAATCAAAGGCCTGTTCAGGTGATTATGAGACTGAGCTGTGACTCTGAGGATGATCCTTTACTACTGACAAAGAGATTTTACACAGACTATTTCATTTAATATATACAAACCTTACAAGATATGTGGTATTATCTCCACTTTGCAAATGAGGAAACTGAAGCTCAAATTTACATTTCATAACATCACCAGGTTTTATTTCCTTCATAGAATTAACCACCACCTGAAGTTACTTTATTTATTTGTTGAATACCACACTTCCCTATCTTGTTAGAATTTAAGGTCCCTACAAGCAGAAATTTGGCTTTATTCCCTCCAAGCCTGGTATAATACATGGCACAGTGAGTGCCCAGTCAACACTGTTTGAACAGCTAGTAGGTGGTTAAGCCGGGCTCAAACATAGCTCTCTTCTGAGTGCATTGTACTTCCCACCAAATCCTTTGGCCCTGAATATCAAGGGTGGGCATATTAGAGTAACCTGGAAGTCAAAATGTGTGCTGCCAGTTAGACATGTACCTGTCTTACTTCTTATAGATGGTCATGAACTCTATGAGGAAAAGATACAGGCCTATTCTGTCTTCTTAGCATCCTTAGTGACTGGCTCGTCATGGTGGCTCATTATATTGGCTGAGCTGAATTCTTATCTGAGACAGCCAGGCCTTGTTTCAGGTTTAAAGCCCTGCCTACTGTCTCTAGTCTACTGAATTTGCATCTACTGTTACCATGACTGCCCACTTGGCTCTGTTCAACTCTTTTTCATTTATTCTTGGCTTCCCATGTGCAGAGAACTATTTTCTGGGGCAGGAGTAAAGAGATCAAAAAGAAAAAATTATTATTTACAAAAGACTTGCAGATTAATTGAGGGAGGTCAGAAATACAGGCTGAACTTTCTAATAATTATCAGTGTCTGATTAGGAACTTGGATGAGGTATAGAGATTGGCTATGAAAAGTCAAAGTTAGGAAAGGTCTACCTATTATCCTAATAAGGGGGTTGGGACACATATTGAATGGGTGCCTACAACCTACCAGGCACTGTGCTAGGTGCTTTATACACACTACAGTGGAATTTCACCATTTGGATGTGGCTGAGAATATAACCATGTCCCAAGATGCAACCAGTGTATACAAGCAGGGCAGTGAGAGCTTCTCGATGGAGTTACTACTAGAAATGCCAGTCTAGCAAGTGAGGTAGGTCCAAGGCCAAGTTCTTCTCTGTAACTCATCAAAGGGCAATGAATGTAGGTGTATGTCCTTTGCTGTTGTCCTGTGTGGGGCAAAACGGAGAGTGAAGATCTCTTTGGTTACTGTCCCTTTCTTCTTCTGAGTGAGGCTCACCTTAATTACTATGCAGAAGTCTTTCTGTCATTACCAACATGCTATTTGAGGACTGTCTTTCTGAGCCATGGGAAATACTTCCATCATTTTCCAAAATTAAAAAGAAAACCCAAACCAATAATGTCAACAATTAAAATACATGATGGAACAAAATGTGATGCATACATACAATGGAATAACACTAGCCATAAAGAGAAATGAAGTTCTGGTACATGGTACAGCATGGATGAACCTCGAAAACATTATGCTGAGTGAAGTAAGGAAGTAATACTGTACAAGGTTATATGAAATCTCTAGAAAAGGCAAAGGTATGGAGAGCAAAGTTTTACTAGTGGTTACTAGAGGGGAGAGAGAAGGGAAAGGAGAGTTATTGTTTAGGAAGTAGTGAGTTCCTGTTCATGACAGAAAATGTGGCATCAAGTACTGGTGACAGGTGCAACAAGATGATTAATGTAATTGATATCACTATATTGTACATGTGAAAAACATCAAATTCACAAAGGTTCTATTATATATACCTTTATAACAATAAAAACATAACTGTGATGGATGTTAAAATGCCAGTTTCACCTTTATTCCTGGCAAATACAGACATGAGTCCTGCTCTAGTGGTGGGTCCATCAACCATGGACACATTTCAAAGAAGGAAGCAAAGATGAAGGCACCAGCTAATAAACGTTTAACTTTGTGCTAACCATTAACAATAACTCACAAAAGAGAAAACACTGGAACATAGCGACTGTGCCATAAAAGTG